CCCCCCCCCCCCCCCCCCCCCGGCGATTAATAGCCGCGTAAAGCCCGTATAAACAGAAAAGCGCCGTTCTCTCTCATGTGCTCGCATGTGCGCGCGCGGGGAGCGCTGCCTCGCGCTAAATTAGCCTATTGTAAATGAGGACGGAATGAATCCCGGTAATTAATATGGCAAGGGCGCGGAGTTATTTCGAGAGGACGAGGCTCTCGAGAGCAGCCGAGCTCTCGCTTGTATATCCGCGTTGATAAAGTCTCTTCTCCGGCCTCTCCCGCATTCCGTTACACCTTCAGATGAGAGAAAGAGAGAGAGAGAGAGAGAGATACGACGCTTGCTCACTCTCGTATATGCCTTTCTATTCGTAGACCGTGTCGAAATCACCCACGAAAACGCCCACAGTGGTGGCGCGCGTGACGAATAGGATCGACGAGAACTTTATTCCCGCGAACGATTCTCCCCCGCGCTTTGTGTGCGTTCGCCCTCTTTTTTTATTCCTCTAGTGCGTCCTTTTCTCCTTCTTTTTCTTCTTCTTCTTCTTCTTCTTCTTCTCTCGTGAATTATTGAAGACCCTGGCGCCCGCGCACCGCCGCTTATCAATTTCAACGTCGAGCAGCGAGCGCGAGTTTACAAAAATACGGCAACTCGCGGTTCACAACGCGGCGATGTCTCTTCCGAGAGCTCCCGCCGTTTGCGAGATCCGCTGTCGCGTCTCGCTCGACAAAACCGTCTTCCGGTCGTTAAGCGCCGGATAGAAATGACTCACACCGATTTCGTTTACTTCGAACCGCTAATTTGGGTGGTTAATTAGACGCGACAGTTTTTATTCTGATTGTTATCTACAATATTACGGCAAACCGTCTTACTGACAACCGTCGTTTTTGCGATCGGTTCGTGAGTTAATCTTAAATTATATACAATCATTTTATAATTATCTATTTGCAGCTTCTTTCAATTTGAAATGAAAAATTTATTCACATTATTTTAGTTCTTCGTTCGAAAACATAAAATATATTATAATTGATTTCAAACATTGTTTCCTGCGAATATCTCTCTCCCTCTCTCTCTCTCTTTCATTCATTGCATTTATTTAAACAGAACTCGTATGAATACCTGTTCTATGCCGCATAACAGCTATGATACTAGAAGCTACTTGTAACTGTTAGTCTGCTCTGTCACACTTTGTCACTTTGGTTTCTTTCTTTATTCAATTATATCATACTACTTACCTTTATATTATGAGTTTATTATCGTCGCCTTTGTCTTGCGTAGCACCTAGCACACGAGTATCTATTACACGCGCGTCATTCAGAATATCTGCTTTTTTCTCTTTCTTCTATACGTACTCTACGTTTTCATTTTTGTCGCTTTTAATCGATTCCGAAGTTACTAATCTACGTATGTACCGTACCGGGCAAAATTATTCCCAGGACGCAAAATAAATAACGCTTTCTCCTTTCCTCTCCCGCCGACTGTACCTCTCAATTCGTCGTGAATCAGCCGCGCACAATTATCGCCTTTTGTGCGAGTAGATTCGAGTGGCACCTCTTCAACGGAAGATCGGGTCGAGCCACTTCCGGCTCGTACCGTTTACCGCAACCACTGTCTCGCTCATCGATTTCCCCCGCACGCGTCAATACGCTCGTGTATTTTCACAAGAAATATCTCTCGGGGCCTCGCGCGCGGTTGCAAAAATAGAAGGGGAAGAAGGGCGACGCGTCGCCGAGCGGGATCCGTCGCTCCGTAGGAACGAGGTAAACCCAACTTTCGTGAACAAAGACCCCGACTCCTCGTGGCCGAGTCGCGTGTAGTAGTGCGCTGCTGGCGAACTTGAAGGAGAGACGCCGCTACGTGCGCGCGCACGTGTGTCCCCGTTCACGCATAACGACACGCAACGCGTGTATGCGTGCGTGTATGCGCGCCCCTCAACCCCCTTTCGTTCCGTAGCTACTCTTTTTCTCCTCTCTCTACTTCGCTCTCCCTCTCACGCCTCTAACGAAACGTTCCGGGCACCTCCAGCGTGTCTGGAGCCATTCACGCCCTGCTGGGTTTCCCACCGGAACCTTTTAAGACCCCACTTTCACCCCCGCGGCAGCCGCCGGCGCGAAAACCCTTCGGATCTCGTCGTCGTCGCAGGAAGAGTCACCGTGATATGGCCCTCTATCCTCTCTCGCCTCCACCTCTCTCGTCGTGCTCTCCACCTTGTCGCCGATCGTTCCGCGACGCGCTCGTTGGCGAAGCAACCCCTCGAGGGCCCGAGAGGATCCCGTGCGAATCCTGAGACACGGATAACGTTCGAATTTTCCCTGGGAGCCGCGCCGTATTTTTCCTTCCCTCTTCCTCGAGTGTTTGGTCACACGTGTACGGACATTAATTAACATTGTCCGTGCTCTTAAATCCTTGACAAATCTCTAATTCGACGCGCGCTCGGCTAAGAAATTCCTCGGTTCTCTGACACTCGTGATTAGCACCGACCGACGATGTCGTTGGTCCCGAACGTGTTTTGAGTGCTCGTGGAAAGAAAGAAAAGAAAACAGATAGGGCGAAAGCTCGATTATGCGACGTCATCGTCCGGAAAATAGCGTGCATTATTGGCACGATTTCTTCGTACGGAACGCATCGGCGCCGTCTCGCTTGGCCGCGATTTAACATTAATATTCACCCGGTGGAAAGTTATATCGCCGTGTTTCTTCGAGCTCTTAAACGACCGGTAATAGCAAATAATCGTTGACGCGTTCAATTTTCCTCGGGCCCTCGCTAGATCGGGAATAGCCTGGCTAGGTGCGTGAAATTGATCGTGAACGCGCGTTACGTTTGGAGATAGAAACAGAGAGAAAAAGGAAGAAAGAGAGAGAAAGGGAAAGCGTTATTTATTTGGCACTTTAGGTTAAGTTCCCTCACGCGTAGCGATGACTACAAATAATACTATTCGATATATATACTACAAAATGGAAATAGATGGTTGTAATAGTAATAATATTGCAATACGGAACCAAATGAGAAAAATGGGCAAATGCCGATACCGATGATTGTACAGAAAGAAATACATAATCATCAAAATGAAACGATGTATGCAATTAAATATATTCGCGTTATTACAAGTTCGAAGAAAAATAATCAAATAGGCAACGGCATGCTAGAAAGAAGCGAATACGAGAGCGAGAAGTCAGACAAATCAAGATATCAATATGATAAATGTATATATTAGTGTCCTTTATCTTTTTATCGAGTAGAAAACTTCGTAAAAGGCATCTTTCAATTCCTCCAATATTTTTATGCTTCTAATGTATAGAGGAATATCATTCCATAATTCGCAAGCAAAGCTGAAAGAACGCTTGAAAAATTCAATTTGACGCTTTTGGAGATCCAGTTGATCGGCAGAGAGAGAGAGAGAGAGAGAGAGAGAGAACTAGTGGGTGTCGACGGTGCACGTTGAACGCCATTTCCTTTTTTCGCATCGGCGCGAGATAAAAAATATATTTTTTTGCTGGTCCCCACGCGCCTCTCTAAATTCATATCGCGCTTCGATCGTCCGCGAATAAATGGATGCGCGCGGTATATGCTCCGATATGCGTCGCTATCGTCGCGTTATCGTTGTGGGATCGACAGGATTTCCATTATCGCGAAAGACAGAAAATGCGCGAAATGAGCGGCGATCTCCACGAGAATGAGACACGTCGCGCAAACTTCGTCTATCTTGACGATTAATCGCGCGATACGCGTCCGGCCGATGATCCGACCGGCGGAATCGACAGGATTCGCCACTCCGCCGAGTGGGAAGGCATTCTCGGCTCGTGACTTTCACCGTGTACGATTTAAGTAGCGATCTTTGTAGCGACAAACTGACACGGCCGACAAACAATAATCCGCCGAGTTTTACCGCGTCGCTCTTGCAAAGCTCTCGCCTCGCGCACTTTCGCAACGATATTGCGCCGGGGCGATGTTCCCGATGATTTACACGCGCCGATTAAAGACGCGTGACTTCATATTTTCCAACTTTCCTGATGCGCGTATTCGTTTTATTTCTTTTTTTTCCCACTTTTTGCGCATTTGTTTGAAATTTAACTACGTAACTTTCCACACGCGGTACGCGCGTAATAATCACGCCGCTACCGTTCATCGGACACGTTCATCCACATTCGCCGCATGCGTATGACCGTGTGGACACGCACGAACGCTCACGTGCGCGAACGACCGACGGAAAGGGGCGAAAGAAGAGCTCGAAGAAGCTGAAGTCCTCCAAGAACAGATCTCGTACATGTGGTATCTCCTCTCTCCCCCTATCGCGCACTCTTTCGCTCTCTCGTCGAAACCGGCCTTTATAAACAGGATTACAAGTGTCCGTGTGAAACTAAATAGTAGTTAGGGTTAATCACGCGTCATTGATATTATCTACGAGGAAATAATCGAGACTTGCCCCCTCGGTTGGCTCAGCTGGTTATACTTGTCCTCGTTGGACCCATCCGCGAGCTGCCGTGTATTCAGCTCGGTAAACAACACGTCGATTCGCCGCCCCCTCCCGCCTGCCCTCCGAGCGTGCAAATTTATTTGCGAGCTGCCTAACGGCGTATCGAGCTACCGTCGAAACTCGTCTTTTCCAATTGCGGTTTCGAAAAGCGAGGACGTCGGCGAGCAGTCCGGTGCGACGGAAACGCGACGGACTGGCAGGCGCCAATTACGCGCGCACGATTTATACTAAAAAGATGGCGAACGCCGGGGAGGAGGTTGTGTGGTCGGTCGGTCGGTAGGTCGGTCGATTGGTCGCTCGTTTGGTCCTTTTTCCGCTCGCCTTGCTTTCCTCAGAGACCATTCCTGTCCCAAACCGAACGGTTTCTCTCTTCCTACTTCCCTCGTGCCGCGCCCCACTATCTTTTCCTCTTCGCCGAAATCACAGCCATTGCAAAAAGAGAGAGAGAGAGAGAGCCAGGAATCTCGACTGTCCCTTTTCTCTCGCCGGTTCTACGCCGACGCGACCTCCTCTTGTACAACAACGGCATTACGAGCTCTATCTCTCGCGACAAATTAGTCTTCACGGTGACTTTTGTAGACGCGCGGACAGAGAGGATCTTCAATTAAGATTTAACGGTACGCCCGTCGAGCGGTCTGAAAAGTTGTGAAAAACAGCGTCGCGCGCGCGCGCGCGCGAAAGAACGAAGCGCTCGACGTAATTAATTATTCCCTCCTTGTCCCTCGACGGAAAACGGTGGCTGAACGAGAACTGATAAAACGGCGAGCAAATCGCGACGATCCTTTGAAACCTCGTGAATCCTGATTCCGCGGAGTATCAATTCGCGGATGAAAAGAATAATGAAAAAGACGTGTCTAACGTGGTCGTTCGTGACACTCAACACGTTAACTTCCGGGGTTCATCAGTGACCGGTTCTTCAATGTGATTGCCACGTCTTATTAATGTATGCAGAAGAAGTAACCAATTGCACGTATCAAGTTACTCTCTAAATCTCTCCGAGTGAAATTCCACTTAAGCAGCGAGTTTCCGCTCATATAAAGTGACGTTTGCCACCCGGAATTATCGAGCGAATATCTTCATTTGAAATTGAAGAATGAATCCGGCGTGCCTCGCCGTCGCTGGGACAAATATACTCGAATTCATTGAAACATTTACTTTCCAATGGATTTAGGACCAAACTCTACGGTAGAGTGAAATTATTCACCCTTGTGATTCCAGGTGACAGTAGAATTTCACTTGTTTCTTTTTTCAAGATTTCGCTCCGAGAAGTTTGAAGAGCAAACACGTGGCTAATAGAAAATCGATGGGAACGAGCTGACGAATATATACATTATAAATCTTATTTATCGCATCTTTCGTTATCGAAACTTCAATTACGCTTCGAAATAATCAATCATCGGGAATCAGCGTGGCGGTCGGCGGGTTGATAAACACGACGGACGACCTGAGGATTTACTAATTCGGACGAACTGTCGGTTAAGCGAGCTCCCGAGACGCGGCACGTACTGAGAGGAACGAACGGTAATTACGTCCGTCCGAGGGGCAAACGCGGACAGACAACGAAAGAGCTACTGCTCCTCCTCCTCCTCCTGCGCGCGGCTTTAAAAACGTCACCGCGGCCCGGTGGATGACTGTCGTCGGAGGGAAAGAGAGAAAGAGATCTATTTGGGGCGTTAAAGACTCTGTTAAAGCGACGGTAACTCGACGTTAAGAAGGCGCGAACGTCGAGTGCGCGCGGCCGACTGCGAGGTATTTTTACGCGGCTCGTTGAAGCGTTTATCGACACCGAGGGAAATTCTTACGAGCGGTTCCAGCTCGCTGGAAGGAAATCGGCCGGAGAAGGAGGGGACGAGTCATTCGCACGAGTTATTCGACTCATCGCGAATTCTCTCGCTCTCTCTCTCTCTCTCATGGTCGTTCGAAAAATAACATATCGTTCGCGCGTTATTATTGTATATTTATCGTTTATTTTCAATTATAATGGCGTCATTACATGTATGTAATGTATCGGGGGAAAATGGGTTTTTTTGCGAACGCCTGTCTCTTCGTCTTTCTTTTGATCCCTGAAGTGGCCGCGCGTCTCTTTCGGCCGATCTTCGCGCGCGTCCGGGGGCCTGCCGAAATTCGCGAAAAAAGGAGAGTGATGAATTCGCGAGGAACGAGGCCGTTCTCCTATGCGGATGAGACACGTGCACCTTTAAACCGGCAACCGGTTTCCGCGCGACGTGCGTGTAAAGGCGAGACCACAACCGAGACCGTTCGGCAAGTACGTGCGAGAATTTGTGGCGTAATTGCCGATTCCGTCAATCATCGGGCGACGGCGTTTTCATGCCGCTGCCAAATCCCCCGTGATACGAGATAAACAGCGCGTAATAACAAAGTATAACCGAATAACGACGGCATAATAACGCGAGTTAACGAAGTGAGCGGGGCCACGAAATTCTCTTTCCAGACATGCGATCGTGAGAAGAGCATAAAATGAAAGGCTAATATCTCGCCGGGCATTATTGTAACCGATGCGGAGCCGGCCAACAAAGTTGTAGTTTTACTCTGTAATTACACGGGCGCGGCAATTTGTATATCATTAAAGCTGCGCTATTGGGGAATATATAAAAAGTACCGGTACGCGCACACAAATCAGTGACGGCACGTATATATACCCTCAATAAATTATAATTAACCGACGCGAATATATATATATACGTGACGAACACGGGAAAGCGAGTTGCATCGAGAAGAGCGAAAAGCCCGTTCACTCCTTTCCTCCGCTTCTTTTTTTTCCACCGCCAAAGAAGCTACGAATCGACGTGTGCTTTTCCCGGATTCAATTCCCTGGGTGTCGTGCGTACACTCGCTTCTTGGCCGCATCGCA